AAGCCGGGCATGACCGTGACACTGTCATATAGTACTGCAAGGCCTGGCATGGCCGTGACCATGTAATACAGTATTGCAAGGCCTGCCATGACAGTGACAATGTAATGTTTATGATAGGACTGCCATAACCGTGACAATGTGTATTGCAAAGCCTGGCATGACCGTGACAAGGTTATATAGTATTACAAGGCCTGCCATGACCGTGACAATGTAATATAGTACTGCAAGGCCTGGCATGACCGTGACAATGTAATATAGTATTGCAAGGCTTGGTATGACCGCCGTGGCAGTGTAATGTAGTATGGCAAGTTCAGGTATGAGAGTGGTGATGTAGATATTTATGATTAGGACTACTGCTATAACCGTGACACTGTGTATTACAAAGGCTGGCATGACAGTGACAAGGTAATATAGTATTGCAAGGCCTGCCATGACCGTGACAATGTAATATAGTATTGCAAGGCCACATATGTGGGTGGTCATGTAGAAATTTAGGCTTAGTCCGCAATGACTAGTACTAGGGCACTGTAAATATGAATCATATTAATGTCAGAAATATCCTTAAACAGTTTAACACTATATGATCATGGTGTTTAACTACCTTAATTATGTTAATATCAAAATTACTACTAGACATTATATTCACATTATTTCCGCATATTCTAAAATAATTAATCATTTACACAGAATAAGACAAGTTATTTGTGTCACGCTAATAAACAATTTAGACCAGAGACATAAAATATACAAATATTTAAAAGTGGATAGTAAACAAATCGCTTAACAAACAACAATAAAAAATTCTTAAATTAAACGTAAATGCTACGGCCGCACCAGGCTTCCACGATAACACTCACGGTCATGACAGGCCTTGCAATATAATACAGCGTTGTCACGGTTATAGCAGGCTTACAAAATAACACTGCCACGGTCATGGCAGGATCCTTGCGCTCCTTAAAAAACACCGAATAACATGGTGACGGTTACACCAGGCGTTAGTCTTGCAATAGATAGCATGTGAGAAAAAGGCTAAAAATCAAGTCGAAATCTATCTCTAGAGTCCATTTCACTGCTTCATTTCGTCAGTAGAACGGCAAATATAAGAAATTGGGAGACCATTGTGCAATAATATATGGAAAAGTATATTCATAATGTACATGAATGACATTTGTATATCTTGGATTGCTTCTAGTTTGGCTTATAAAGTGTGTGGCCTCCTATATTTTGATGTTTCTCTGCCATGTTATTTTCAATAAGATTAACATGGCTGAAATTCTTCAAATTACAAGACGGCACAGGCTTATTGCACAAAAAACTAAAAAATCTGAAATATACAAATGTCATTCATGTACATTATGAATATACTTTTCCATATATTATTGCACAATGGTCTCCAAATTTCTTATTTTTGCCGTTCTACTGACGAAATGAAGCAGTGAAATGGACTCTAGCTATTATCACCCTAGTTCAACAAGTTAAACCTAGTCTGGGCCTTATTTCTTTTCTGACATATCTTGTGGCCCGCCCTAGGTTTAACGTCCGTGCCTATTCGGCCCTTGATGCAAAAAAGTTCAATATTGGTCTATGGCAGCGCATGGAATTTTATGCGGGTTTAATTAATAACTGATAGTGAGAATTTGCAACAAATGAAAGCATAGCACGGAAGTTAAACCCAATCACGGCAACAAGAACATTCAGATTAATAAATGAAAGCCGTGGTATTGGGTTTAACTTGTTGAACTATTATCACCCGTGTCAGAAAATAAATAGAATCTATATTTTGACGGCCATGATAGCACAAGATTAGCTGTTTGTGTCGATAAAAAACGTTAAAAAGGAATCACAAACCTTTCAACAAGAGCCTCCTTCCTCCCGTTTGTGCTGGCACCACGCAAAGACAACTCCCTCTTCAACTTTTGTACCGTGTATTTTCCAAACTGATCTGCCATCTTCCAAGTTCAAGGCCCTTACCCTTAGAAAGCTTAATCACTATAACATCGCCTTGCACTATTCACATTTTATTAAATATTTTAAGTCAATATAAGAGTAAAATCGGAGAGGAGTGTTACTCAACAACTATTTTCGAATATATGAATGTTTCTCCTTGTCTATTGAATCGTTAATCTGTGGAATAATGAAGCTCAAATTTGCCTTGTTAGAGAAAACTTTACTTCTTCGTCTGGCACAGGGTGAGTCACGTGACCTATATGTTGACTTATCGCACTTGCGCGCCACCTATATCAGTGCTCGAATCACGCGAAACACCATTGATCCTGGTCACACTGCATCATGCGACCTTAAACTACAAGGTTTACTCTTATACAGTACACCTACGGTACATTGTAGTAATCAGTTATGGCTGTATTCTGTGTAGATGCACTGGCCCGCCCCTCCCTCTGAGATGGGCCCAGAAAAAATGGTCCGACATTTTAGCGCTCCACATGTCTTGGGTCAGATATTGTCCTGGTTGCTGAAGTCAGGAATTTTTGGGGAACATGGGGCAAAACGGCCCTCATAATAATTTGATCCGTGCAGAGGTTTTTCTAATCTGTCAATCATCGCGAACTTTCATGTTCCATCTTATGAAGGGATTATATTTCACATTTTCTGTGATTTTTCAGAGTGTTCGAAAATAATGTTGAGAGTAGGGCAAAATGGCCCATGGGTGGACAGAACAGCCCACAATGAAAGCTTCGGTTTTAAAACCAAGATTAATTAACTACAGGACTCGTCATCACACATTTATCTAAGACGGTCGGGTCAAAGATTAGACAGATAAAGTATTCTTAGCCCTTACCCTAAAATTACGATTTAGTAGTCATTTGATATGTTTTGAAACAAAAACCAAGTGTTAAAATCTTTATCAGGATGATAGATTGTTATTTTCCTGTATGTAAACATTTAATCCCACAAGCCGTAATTGGGGGGGGGGGGCAACATTTAAGTTAAGTTTTCATGGCAAAGGGTAGCATCTTCAAATTATCAGTAGCTGGAGCTACAGATATAGCACATCAAGTATTCTATAAAATCAGGAATATTGTACATAGGGTAACTCATTTCTTTATTATGATGCAATCATCGGCTCAAATGGACAAATTTGGAAAAAGCTGTCACTAATTTGGCCATACGTGTTGTTACTCAAAAGTCAGGATTTTGTTTTGTTGTTATTACCCAGCCTTTCACTGAAAATGTCAATGCGCGTGATTGCAAGGTAGTCCCAATATTTTGTGTTTCCTAGAGCTTGAAAATACTGTTATCGTCAATGAGTGGATATTCATTCACATGCATGAAAACTGGGAAAATATTTCTTCCGAATTCCATAGGAAAACATCTCCTTGGAATTTTACTTATGCGTAATAATACGAACAAAATTACGGACTTTTTTTCGATCAGATGCGTGGTTCGCGGTAACGGATCTCTTTGCGCGGAACAAGAAATATGTTCGGAAACAAGGAAATGGTGGTGCGCGACATAAGATTTCACGTTCGCGATATGAGATTCGTGGTTCGAGTGCAAGGAACGTAGTTCGCGGTATCAGAACTGATGTTCGCGTTGTTGGAAGTCTAGGAGGCCTGGAACTGATTAGTTTTTCGCAATTCTCATTAAATGTCAAGGCAGCCATTTTGGATTTTCCGTCCTGAAATATTGTCTGTCAAGTCTTGTCTACGCGTTTTCAAGTTAACCGTTCGACGAATCAATTTTCAGGGATGGTTCTTAAGATGAAAATTAGAACTGATTACTTTTTTTGGAATTCTGGATGAATTTTAAGGTGGCCATTTTGAATTTTCTGTCCTAAAATCTTGTCTGTAAAGTCGTATCTATGCATTTCCAGGTTAACCGTTTGAGGAATCAATTAAAAAATTTTAGGAATGATTTTAGTATAAAAATTTAGAATTTAATACTTTTTCGGCATTCTGCGTAAATGGTCATTTTGGATTTTTCGTCTTAAAATCGTGTCTGTAGAGTCTTGTCTACTCATTTTCAGGAAAACCATTTGAGAGATCAATTTCAAATTTTATGATTCTTAGTATGAAAATCTAGAACTTATAACTTTTTCGGCATTATGGGTAAATGTTAAAGCAGCCATTTTGGATGTTCCGTCTTAAAATCCTGTGTGTAAATCTTGTCTACGCATTTCCAGGTTGACGGTTTGATGAAACAATTTTAAATCATCGGGAATGATTCTAAGTATGAAAATCTCGATCTGATTAGTTTTTTGGCATTCTGGGTAAATATTTAGATGGCCATTTTGGATTTTCCATCCTAAAATCTTCTCCGTAAAGTCTTGTGTACATGTTTCCTGGAGAACCAGTTGACAGATCGATTTCAAATTTTCAGGAAAGATTCTTTGAGTGACAATCGCATTCGTTTTTGGGCAGCCCGAGACCCGGGTAAATGTGAACGCGGCAACATTGAAATTTTGTATTGAAATCCTGAATTCTTAACTGAACAGTGTTCGGCATTCATTAGGAAAAATTTGCAGTATAGATCATCCATTGGTGGGGACATGTTGTACAAATTTGTGTTCTTGTATGAAATACCAGACATGAAATGGCCCAGATATTTTTTATAGAATCTTTTGCATTTCATATGGTTAACAGTGTTAATAAGCCCAACGTGTGCTGGGTAAAATTGTAATTACTTGTTTTTTATTTTATTTAATTTCTAAACTGACCACTATACATGAATAAATAAAAATAATAAACTATATAATGATGCGCAATTGCCATTGATTGTATACATGTGTGTATGCATGTTGTCTAGTGCATCATTCTAGAATAATTGGATTCATACCACACAATTAGACACAGAGTCTAAACTAGAATGGTTTCATTATTTGATCTAATATGTTTGCCTAGCAACTACCTTGTAACGGATAGAAAATGACAATATTTGTCGGCAATTAGCCTTCAAACCGAAACAAGATGTTGCAATAAATGTTTTATTACAATTGCCTACATTTATTGGCTGACAATTTAATCTCATCCTCCTAAGCAGGTGTCCAGAATCCGTACATCCTTCTTAGACTATATTCTGGATTTTGAAGCCCGGCGTACGGAGGATGTTTAATTTTGACTTCATATATTTGGCTAGCAACCACATGGTCCCATACTGAAATCCTTATATTGGCCAATTTTACTCTTGTTATCTTTCCAACCACCACCAAATGCAAATTTAAGGAATATACTCGCATCATCGTACATTTGCAGGGTCTTATTCATGATTGCTTCACCAATACATGACAGAAGACCAAATTATCATTTACACGTTTGATGATAGGTTTATTGAATAAATCGACAAAAAGTTCAATTTAATCGTGGCACCATTCTCAGTTAATATTGAAAAACAAATGAATTGTTCATTGTAACTCATTTACCGAAACTGACTGATGATTCCAATGAAAATACAAAATCACAAGTGGATGTAATTTCTAGAATCTTTTGTAATATAACCCATTGGTTTCTGGCTTGAATATTTTTGTTTCCATTCCAACATCATTTGTGTGTATGCATCATGTGTTTTCTGATTCGCACCTTTGTTGTTTTTGAAAAATATGACTTCGAATGGAGAAATATCAATGTTATTATAATATGTATTTGGAATATATGGATCTCCTTTTTTCTTGTTGTGCTTTTTACACATTTCATCAGTCAAATTCTTGTCTCGAAAATCGTGGTCTTCCCATTGTTTCAAGAGTGACACAATATTAAAGCCTCTTTTTAGAAAAACTTGTGACGACTTTTTTTCGACATTTTCAATAACTGAAATTTTTTCCTTGTAGCATCTGAGCACATCTTGTTCCAGGATTCTTAATCCCGAAATGCTTGTGACGAGAAACATGGATTGGAGATGTACGGGATGCTTCTTTGAACAGCAAATGCTCGTACCCACTAATTTTGTGTCATCGTTTAGATATTTCGTAAAGTAGGTGATCCAATGTTTATCATTAGCGTAAGGAGGTATAAAAGGTCCTCTAACAGATGCATTTAATAGCACGAAGAATTTATACCAATATTCTCCTTTCAACTTTTTCATCTGAAGCAGAGCTTCCTTCCATGCGCATGCGTCAAAGCCAGTGTTTTCCCGAACGATCACGTATGTGTTGTTGTATGCAGGGATATCAATACTATAGTTGTATCCATTTACAACAAAGACGTAATCAACATCGCTACCTTGGTGTTTACCGTTTATTGCGAAATCAATGAAAAATTGCAAATTGTTTTTCCTTATATCATGTTTCCAATCTGATATTTCAGTGTAGGCGTAGATTACCAATACTCTGTCAGGAGTTTCTCTTGGTTTCTTGTCCGCACCTTAAAAAACACAGGATTCGTACAATGAAACATGGTATTCAAATAGACTAGATTTTCAATGTCCTGTTTTAATGATAGGCGGACAAGTGTTAATATGATGTTATGCCATATGTTATGTTGTTTCTTTATTTCCTCCCGTTTAATTGGAGAGCAAAACAATTAATACATGTATATACACATTACAGAACATATATTGCAGAAGAGTAAAAGTAAGAAAATAGCATCACCAAAGCTGAAAAGCGTAACACTGTTGCGATCTGGTAGAATGTCAACCAGCCGTTCAAAAAAATGATTAAACTATTCCGGTTAGATGTTTACTTTTAAGTTTATGACTCAATGCTCCGAGTGGATCTATCATTTTGTTAGGTTCATTGGGTTCTGCAAGTATATAGCAAAGCTTAGACTATCATCCGGATGCATACCCAGAATGTAATTGTGACTTTTAAACTTTGGTAGAGTTTCTCCATCCAGGATCAAATCGAGGATATTATTTAAAATACTTTTCGGTCGTCTTAATATCGGATTGTCCATTTAACACGCCTTACCATCGACAAAACTACCGTCGTACACTTAAGATGTACGTTGTCAATGTTAACAGATTTGAAGCCAAAACTATAATGTAGATAGGTTTTAAAAAATAATCTGAGGAATACATAAAGGATTTCACGTTTAATTTCATTTCGTTTAACGTTCAATTTCATGTGTATTCTCTTCGAAAGACTTTTAACATTCTTATTACGTTAAAAGATGCTTGAGCAGTGCTGATTGTCTTGTGGTAAATCTACCCAGATAATTGATTGGTTGGGAAATGTTGTTTTTCACATTTCCTTTGATCATTTTCTTCCCTGTCTTCTAAGAGTGTCGATTGTATTTATGAGAATATGTTTTTTTCTCAAGATTTAATAATTATTTAGTATTTGGTATAATTTTAAAAATCGAAACTGTACTTTGTCAACTTGACTGTAAGTTGTGTAATTGAATCTATGTGATGTAAAACAAATTTTTATTTCAAAAATCCATTTGGAGTTCGTGATGACTCACAAGTGATGTTTATTGAACATGTTTCAAGTATCCTTTGTACAGTTGGTGTTAAAGATACGGTAAATGTGATTTGGGGACCATGGGATGTAAGGTCCAACGTACAACCGAGTTGACAACGTACACTTCTGATTTTTAAATAACAAGTAGTGTCAAAACGTAAACATTTGTTAAATCTTTAACCGACCTGAATTGTGTAGCTGAAGCCCTGTATACACTGCAAATTACGTTTCAATCGTTTCAATCAGTGCTATCATATCAATGCATGTATGATTTCCTCCGTTTTAATGTTTGCTTCATTTCGAGCATTGTAACCATTTCAAGTTATTCGGCCTTTTTGCACCCATTTCAAGCATTTCGCCTACCAGAGCCAGTGAATAAAAGCAACAAAACAACTTGAGCGCTGACCGAGAATAAGCTAACGTAATTAGAAAGTTAAACGTCTTGCAAAGAGCATGCACCTGGAATTAAACATGAAATACATACAAAGGTATTCCTCTGATAATTTTTCAAAACCTATTTCATAGTTCTTTCTTCAAATCGGTGAGTTTACTTGAATATTTGACAACGTACATCTAAACTGTACGACGGCATATATTTTGTCACGGTACGTTTTCACTGGTTATTAGGCTTGCTAATATCAGATGTATCCTCAATAAAACAATAAATATCAGAACATAATTCTGACGTCTAGCCATGTGACTAAACATATATGTTTGTTTATGTTTAACAGTCAGGAAACACGTTAGAAGTTCAGTTCCGGGGCATACTCTGTATCGTCACACGATCAACAATTGCGCCTTTCTCTTGAATTCTAAATGGCGCCATAACTTGCAGCTAGGCATACGGTTGCCGAACATTGTCGACTTTGTCCGTTTTGTCTAAGTATGTTCGCCGTTGTCCGAGGTTGTCCTGTTTTGTCCGATAATGTCCTGTTTTGTTCAAAATGGTCATATGAAATGAACATCACGGGACTTAATGCTTCTGAGTTGTCCGGAGTTGTCTTGGGAAAAGCATTGACATTCTCATTATTTTCACCGGACATAAGCGGACAAACTCGGACAAAACGAACAAACGGACAAAATAGGAAAATGAAGACTTTGCAAATTGCAAATCTCCCGTTCTAAACAAGAAACTGAAGCTGATCGGTAATCTGAAGTGTAAGTAGCGCTTGTTTTGTATGCGTGGTGTACACATTACTGTATTGATTTTTTGACTTTGCATTCACGGTTACGTTGTGAAAAACATCGCTAGCTTAAGGTCTCCAGTATCCGGGCTTGTCCGCTGAAAATGTCCGAGTTGTTAGGTGAAAATATTTTACACTCCATGGCGTCCACAAAAAAGTATACCCAACTTCAAAACCAAATTACCAGACCCTGAGCAATTTTTTAAAAATACAAAGGTAGCTGTAAAAAGCTTAATTTGTCCTCCATCAAACGGTACCTAGATCATTGTGTAATTGGCATGTACGACTGAGCAATCATGACCATTATGTGAGGTGATAAAATCAGCAATGTGTCAAGTAACAATAAATGGGGGGGGGGGGGGATTAACCCCAGAGTTCAAAGATGACATACGCTTATTAGTAGCCTGGCCAGAACAAGTCATGCCTCTCTATTCTCTCAATAACTTTCTCAATTTTGAATATTTTTTCATGAACTTTTCACAGAATAAACTTTAAAGAATTCCTAACATACAAATTGTTTTATATGGTAAATGCCTCATTAATATCATTGTTACAACCTTTTAAAAAATAATGTCATATTCTGTTGATGGGTCATTTTTGTCGCCATTTGAAAGCATCTTTTATCTCCATCAAGTATGACAATAGGCGAGTAGTAATGCCTTTTATGGGACGAGCAGTATAGAGGCTTGAGATCATGACGTCTTGAAATAGTATGGTGAATTTAGAACACTAAAAAAGATAAATGATCCCCTATCAAAGACTGCAATCAAATTTGTAGACCATATTGGGAAAAAACGTAATTTAGATTTTTTTGTTTCTTTTTAGAAAAATGGCGACAAAAATTACCCATCAACAGAATATGACATTATTTTTTTAAAAGGTTGTAACAATAAAATTAATGAGGCATTTACCATATAAAAAAATTTGTATGTTAGGAATTCTTTAAAGTTTATTCTGTGAAAAGTTCATGAAAAAATATTCAAAATTGAGAAAGTTATTGAGAAAATAGAGAGGCATGACTTGTTCTGGCCAGGCTACTATGTAAACCTGTATTGAGATGACATACACCTCTGATTGGTACAAATCGATAAACAAAAATGGCGGATTCAAAATTTTCTAATAACGCTTCGAATAATATTACGTTGATTCCTGGCGAATTACCCAATATCATAGCTTGGTTTTTCACACCAAGATAAAGAAATATGTAAAGCCCGGTATACACCAATGGGGCAAAATCCCACTTGCCCCGTCGAGTCCCATCTTGCCCCATCGAATCCCAATTTGCCCCATCGAATCCCACGAAGTCCCATGGGACCTTGATGACATTGCCCCATCGTGCCCCATGGACAAATGTAACGTTATCCTTTCCCGAAAAATGAACAGAAATATTAGCATATTAGAATAAGAGTCAAATATGGCTATTATTAGCCATTTTAAATCATCGTTTATTGAATGAATGTCTAACTGGGGCATCTAGCCCTCAATTTATCCATAATTTATAATATTTTGGAATGATGTTGATCACGTGGACTTAGCTAGTTTATGTTTTTGTGAGCAGTCGATTTTGTAAATTCTTGAGAAAGACGTCATATATTTAGTGAAATTATGACGCGAATTGATCAGTGGCTTTTGTATCATTGTTAAAGCACACTAATCTTCAACGGCATTTTAAAACAGACCGTTGACCCTATGTTTATTTATATCAAGATAAACATGAGAACACCTTTTTAGAATAAGCAAATAAAAAAATACCACAATCCATTGGAAATTTGCGTAATTTTCGATTCAAAACGTGTCAAAATGCGAAAATGAAAAAGATATATTTTTGATGGAAAAACGGTACAAAATTTCACAAATACTGTTGGGGTAGGGGTAACACTTTAAGTGAAAAAAGTAAGAAAAAATGTCCCGAGTGTACCAATATTCGAACCAACGTAATTATGTATAAAGAAAATTTATCCAAGCTCGACAAAAATCGTCAATACTCTCTAAATCATCATTTTATCAAAGAAATATAGAAAAGTATGTTTTTTGCTTTGAAATCAATGGCGCCTCAAATGTTCAAATGATGATAACGTCATACCTATTTTCAGAAGCTTCTTATGAGAAAACGAATCCGTTGACCTACCTTTTTATTACATTTTTCGAATCGCTATATCTAGGTCTATAATGAAAACCTAGTTTCGTTGAGATTGAAAATGGTCGATTTTTTCGGAGGTTACACTGGTATATCCTTAAGAAATATGTTTACATCGATTAAAATATCACGACGACGCGTTATGTTCGAAAATCAACTGGTGAGAATTTGCGCAAACGAAGGTGGTACGCAAGAGACGTATTATGTCAGTCATCGCTACAGCTCTTGGACTTCCCCCCTCTTATGTCAAGTTATCTTATATGTGGCAATCGATGCGTAATTGGCTTAGTATAGTATTCTTTTTTCTGTTGCATTATGTCAGAAGACAGGCCTTTCAAACGAAACTGGACTGGGGACCGATAAACTTTCTCAGTTAACGCCTCGCCCAATATTTGTTTATCGAATAGGTATTCTGTCATATCAAGCTCCTGATCATCCAGTATTTGTTTAATATAGGATTACACAATGGATGTGAGGCAAAGCATTGCTCGAGGACTAGAATAGTTGATAAACGTAACTGCTATAATTAATTTGTAGTCTAGATGTATAGTTAAAATTAATTTCCGATCTGTTACGCGCAACATATAGCTCTGAGGTCTTAACCACACATATCAAAAGTAGAGGCGTATCTCAAAATCCAATCAAAGTTAGAATATCAAATTTGATACACAATGTCACCAAACATTCATTATTATTTCCAAAAAATCGGAAGCACAAATATTACTTGATGTCAGAGTTGACAAAGAAGAAAAACAGCTGGCAATGGTTGATAAGACTGTTATTATTTAACATGAACAAGGCATTAGTTATGAGCATGAAAAATGATTGTTAAAAATTCAGATCATATATATTTGAGGTGCTTCAGGTGCCAAACTTAGTTAGCAGTTGCTTAATCCCTATTGTTACTTAATACCCATACCACGGGTTACTCTGGTAACTGTAACTTTGGCATATATCAATGGTTGTGCTTGAACTTTTCTGGAAAAAAATTAATTAATGTTTGGTGATATACTAATATGATCATCCCCTGTATCTTCCAAACTTGACCTTCAAACAATTCTACTTCTAGATGTGTCTTTATAAAACCCTTGTCGAATAATATTTTCATACAACGCTTAAAACGTGTTGCTTATAAAAAGTGATTCGACAGTGTGTAATCCGTTTTTTTTATTACTGCTACCGATTGTGAAATATAACGTCCGGAAAGTAGTTCAAAACCAAAAAATTCTCCAAAGGAATGGTATGGATATGGAAAACTTTTTGAACACACGTTTCTCTTAAACCAGTCATAAAAAATCTTAAAGTTTAACACATTGTCAATTTAATGATCATCTTTTGAATGGGAACAATATATATATATATATATAATTTCATCTATATTGTTTTAGAAAACACATCAAACACTTGTTCTGTTCTCGGTATCATGTTTCCAGAGTAAAATGAAACATCTTTCCGAACCTCATTGGAACAAGACGACATAAACACAACACGTTTAGGTCTCTCAATACTAGTCTGAGTATAATTGTAATTGTACAATGGGAATTTTGGTTGATTTTAAAAAAGTATCTTGTTAATGAAATAAACGGTTCATCTTGATTTTTATCTATTTCTTTTGGGGGGGGGGGGTTGTTTTAATTTTTTGAATACTTTTTTTAAAATCAACTAAAAATTCCTTGGTATAGCTATAATATTGAGAGGTCTAAAAACATGTTGTACAGTACAGGGTGGTCCAAAAATGGGACACTCGTATTTTAAAAATTAATATTGATTTTATTGATGAAAACATATCATATTATATACCAGTGGATAGGGAATTTAATCATCTTTAATTTGGTATATCATAAGTTCAAAGTTATTATAATGTCTGTCAACCAGCGTCCATAATATAAATGACGTCATTTTCGTTTCAAAACGGATTTTCCAAAACTTGCAAAAACCAAGTTTTATTGTCATCTTTATCTACATAAAGAGACGTTCAATATGTCCAATATTTTGATCAATTGTAGCCCTCACCAGCTTTTGCCTTAACTGATCAATAGCATCAATGATATGCTGTTGAGAGAATGAATTCTGTCATCAAGGGACTGAATTGTTGTAAAGGATTCACGGTACACCAATTATGTTAGAACTCCCCATACGTGGTAGTCGCAGTTGCTTGGTGATCAGGTGATCTGGGGAGGCAGTGATTAAGGGAGGGGGTGAATATGCACATTTTCCTTTTAAACAATTGACAATCAAATGGGATCTATTGCTTGAAGCCCCATCTTGTTGGAAATTTAAAGATTCCAAAACGAGCTCATATCAGGATGGTCCAAAAACAACATAATTGGATCATCTGATGTCAACGTCTGCGACGTCCACGTATTGGGAGAACTAACAGAATTTGAGAACCATGAACACTGGATGCACATTGGATGCCAATGATGCTTTTTTACCAGTTTCAGCCAAAACTGAGGGTTATAATTGATCAAAATGGTGGACACAATGAACATCTGTTTATGTAAATAAAGTTGATAAAAAACTTGCTTTCTGCAAGTTTTTGAAAACCTGTTTTGAAACAAAAATGACGTCATTTATATTATGGAATTATTATATTATCTAGAATAAAATAGGCTCATATATAGTACATATGTTATAAACCCATCTCTTCTCAAATTGACTTTTTGGAGATGCTCGTTATGAAACACCCTGAATGTCATTTGCTACTAAATGGGTCGTTTCCAGGAATCACTAGGACCTACTTGTTTGATTGGTGTTTCAAATTGATGGATAAAGTATTTGATTGGATACTGTTCCTACTCAGCCAATTAATTTTAAAAAATGTTTGCGGTCAATTGTTCCACACACGTGTAGGTAAAGCTTTATACGGAGAACCAACTGTATACGTTTATCATGTACGTATTTATACCGTTTTGTAAGTACATTGAACTTATACTGATCATGAAAACTTGGAAAAAATCAACTTGTTAATGTAATGACTCAATTTAAAGGATCATGTTTATAATACACTATAACTACTAGGACACGGAAGCAAGCATTTAATTATATTGTGCATAATCTACACGTGCAGATGACAGTGCATTCACAGTCTCTAGTCGATGGAGCTTTTCTATATCGGAAATAGTTATGTTCCATTAGTACAATTTAAAATAGATTTTAGTAAATATAAAAGTTCGACATGACCCTTTAATGTATACGTATACGTATAAGTTGTACTTTCACTTATGTGCGAAATCTCTCTATTATAATAAATCTGATATTTATGATATACCAAATTAAAGATAAGTGAATTCCCTATCTACTGGTATATAATATGATATGTTTTCATCAAGAAAATCAATATTTATTTTTGAAATACGAGTATCCCATTTTTTGGACCACCCTGTATATGCTATTTTGTTTCAACAAGGTTCGGAAAGACATTTTATTTCATTCTCAAGAATTGGTAGAAAGGAGCAAAAACAATTGCACTAAAAAAACAAATAATGTTAACAAAAACAGTAATATAAAATATTTCTAAATAATTTTCGCATTAAATTGTTGTCAATCAGTCAACATTACATAAAATACCGTGTTATTTACAGAATGTGTTCAATGATTGGTTTAAGAGAAAAACATTGTTGAGTTCAGTTCTCCATATCGATGCAACTCCTATAACGTGTGAACTATAAACTTAGTGTAGAAATTCTGAATCTGCAAACCAAATTTCGATCAGCGTACCAATTCTGAAGTAATGACGTTATGAAACCTCAAAAATCGCTAAAGGTGCCCCATATTGAGTAAGTGGGACAAACAATATTTTTGGAGTGTAAAAGAGAAATAATACACTATGTACAGCTAAGCATAATGACAGCCTATAAAAGAAGGGGACCTCAAAAGCTGCCTAGCTTCAAAATTTTGACACCAAAATGCCTATGTCAAATTCATATTTTCCCTTATTTTTGCGATTCTGACACTACATTAAGTTATTTGATTCAAAATTTTAGATATAGGAAGCAAAGAGTGTGCTAATAGTGTTAGATTTTTGCCGTCAGAAAATATTTTGACCCACTATTGATATATGGCATCCGAAAAGTAGGTCAAAATAAAAATTTCTCCAAATTCAATATATGAATCCAATTCTGCAATTTTAGATTTGACTTCCTATTCAGAAGTCATGATGTTTTGAATTTTAAAAAATCGATATGATGATATTCCTCTGTTAAATCTATGGAGCTCTAGACAATTATGATTTGTAAAGATATGAGATGCACACTGGATACAAACAAAATAAATTAAAGCCTACAATAGAAGAGGCCTCCAAAGCTACTTTAATATAAAGTTTGGACACTGAAAAGCCAAGGTCAAGAACTAGGTCAAATCTTATATTTCCAACATTCTGTCAATTAACTTTGTCACTATTGGTTGTTATTCCTTCATATTCTTTTCATCATGTAGCTTAAAAACAGCCCTTTCAATTTTCACTCTCCTTTTTTGATGACTCTTACCGATTTTGAGATATGACGTCCTGAAAGTGGGCCAAAGCAAAAAGTTCTCCAAATTCAAGGTATGAGCCATGAAATAGATGTAGAATTTTCTGAAATCGAAGTTGAAACCCGACTTCCAGTTAAGATTCTACGCCATTTTAAAATACTCAGCGTCTCACTAAGCTACTTACTCAGCTGCTTACTCAGTTACTTACTCAGCTACGTAATCAGTTACTTACTCAGCCGCTTACTCAATTCTTTACTCAGCTCTTTACTCAATTATCAAGGTCAATACAAATTGAAGTCTTAAATTGAACTTTGTTCGCTTTTGCGTTTCGATAATAGCTCTTTGTAATAATATCTTTGTGATTAACCCGTCAAATAAGTCAAAAGTTTTCCTTACCTAATAATAAGGACTCTTTATTCGTCAGTTTCATCAAGGCCAAGACACATAGCATAATCCCAAGGCTAACTCCCAGCCACATTCCCTTGGTGATCTTCTGAAATGAATATGCTACTGATGTATCTAATAATCATGTAGTCCATGGTATGACTTCCGAATATGAAAGATCCGTAGCAAACTATAGCGCAGCAACATTTGATGATATATTAATGGAGATGCATATGTCTTTATTCTTTTCAAATACCATTTGCTGAAAAAAACATCCGGCTTTCGGGTCGAAAATGTCTTTCATTACAAGGTGTCAATAAAAGAAAATATTTTGATTTGAACCTTTATACATTTTATAAGACACAGACCGTTATTCTAAGCATATGAACAAAAAATAGATTATCATAATGTAAAAATATCCTATGATTTTACCGTAGATATGTTTAATGATACGCAAGTGTGTTTTTCAGATTTTGTTGGATTTTTCAAATATGAGCCAAGCAGATTCAACAAAATTGTGTGGAATATTTAGGAAATTTATGATTTCCACATATCAGTTTTTTACCATTTGAAACATTTTATTGCAAGTATTTTTCAATATAATCGCAAGGGGCAAAACAACAAATTATTGTTCATGTTTTATAAAACATAATACAATAACAAATAGGTAAGATTTATATCTCATTAAATGTTACAGAGGTATTGAAATGTTCATACTTGTATATTTCAAGGGCATGTCTAATAATCAATTAGTTTGATTGTTTGCTTGTTTGTTTTTATTTTTTATTTACAGGGTGTCCGGAAAGGAAAGATACGGGTGCTCTTATTTCAATATATTTGCCTCATGTGAGCTGAAATTAATACAGATTTTAGAATAACATTATAACAATTTTCCTGCAACTGTCATTGCATATTGTTTCAAAATGAAAAAGTTATGGTTGATATGGCAACAGGAGTTGGGGGAACATTGCGCAATGTATTGACGGTTTTAACAAAATTTCACTGAATAAAATCCCAAGGTATTTATAATCACTAGCAATTTTAAGTATTTTACTTTCAAGTATAAATATGTAATCTGTTACTTTATTGTTTTTGGGTCTAAAGTGTAAAATATTTGATTTGTCAATACCGAACCGTTTCGGTAACCTGTGTAATCGAGTGGATCACCAGTGATATGAATAATGAATAATAAGTAGGTGGATCCTGAATTACGTGGTTCTGAGGTCCAAGACCTACAGGTAGCGCAGATTGGGGTCATTTGCATTCTAAGTCAGCACATAGCGAGCAACAGTTATTTCACTATATTCAACTCACTGAAGTATTACTGTTTTATTTCAGTATCATTTGAAATGTCATTCGGTGAGTAGTCTACGTATAGTACATTATAGTATGCTTTGGACAAATCAGACATGGCAACAAAAGTAGTAATTTTCGGCCTTTCTGTCATTGGCTCGAAAATATTTCAATGGAAACACCGACCAAATCTAAATTTGAACAAAAGTGATTTAACATATTGTTTCATGAAGGAGAGGCGGGTATTTTACTTGTGCGCCTCAGCCAAAAGCATATTTCAAAAGAAATATTTTCGTTCATTTTTATCAATGTCGTTTATTAAATCATTTAAAATTCTTGTCCTTCCTAACCACGGAATTTAAAACAATTTGGGAAAACTGGATGATTTAATTCTGATAGTGGGGACAAAAAGTTCGCCAAATCTGAAGCGTTTGATTATCTTCGCAAGGGATAATTGAAAGTGGGTGATTACCATGCTTGTTTTCCTATTTATTTAATATGATAATTTATTTGGTGTAAATATCAAATTTATTTTCATTTTCAAATATTTACCTGTGTTTTCTCCACATTGCGTACTGATTCATTATTCTTGTTGTCAGTACCATCAAGGGCCGTTGGGTAATACTTGGTTAGTAATGAATTTGAAATTTGAAAAGTGGGATTTTTGGTCATAAATGGGCCTTCTAAGGTCTTGCTTTTCAATTTTAGGCCAAATTTTGAAGAAAATGAGCCTCAAAATTTTAAAATTTGGGCCCACTTTTTGATTTTTGGGGCCAAGATTTTTTTACGCGCAAGCGCGCAAGTTTTTTACTCAGCCCAGAAGTTTGGGCCCCCTTGTTGGTTCCTAGATCGGCCCCTGGTATGTCTATTATTTAACAAACATTTTTACTTTTTGTTTAAGTCATACCAGTTTTTTTGCATGACAGAATATGTCACGCTAATACGCATGTGGAAGTGGATCCCCCCTAAATTCACTATGCTCTTTTCAAAACTTAAGGTTATAAATAGGAAATATCTGTTGCAATAAGGTTCTATGTCCTTCATTTGAGATAAAACTTTTTAACATTCAATGTAATGATTCAAAGTGGAGATAAAACCTTTTTACATTTGATTACAAATTCTATTCTCTCATCACTACCCGTCATTCAACATAACACCAACTTTCAGTTTCAAGGAATGAGAGCACTTGGCACACAGAAAATCTAAAGAACGGGAAAGATATAGAACAATAAATTGATTATGTCAATTTGAATCCACAGATTCTAGATACCAACACTTTATAGATAAAAGTATCAGTCTTCGGCAGAAATACTTATTCAACAATCCTGTCTTTAAATGTCGGTCAGTATTTGAATTATTTTACACTGAACCAATGCTAAAATATAATGTCATCTCAATGTAAAGCAAAAAGCAGCAAACCCTAAGTTACACATTGCAATGTCTCCAAGAGGTATAAAGTTCAATGATCGCTTCGTGTTAGGAAGAATCATAACAAACAAAGCTGTAACTGGCTCCGTCTGCGATTGTTTGAATATCAGTTCAAATGTCCCATCGCTGATATATTTGACTGATGTTGAATCACAAATGTTATGAAGTCCATATGATGTATATCCATCCTATGTCAGATTTGACAACATATTTGTCACAAGGCAATTGTACATTCTTTCAGTTGTGTTGATCAGCCCTTTAGCACAACGGTGCTTGCAACATCTGTGCCAAAATCCCTTAGTTCGTCATATAAACATCACTTTACTTTAATTACTGCTCTACCAGCCTGGAAATATTTCCATTAACAAATTTTAAATGTATAATTACAACAATATCTTTAACAATAGATCTATTCGTGAACGATTCACTGATTTTCCAACAGCTCATCTGCAATTCAGCAATATCTAAAGAAAATTGTTCAATATAAATGGACACCATCCAGATCAAAATACCTGAAAAGTAATTGACCAATGAAATACATATAGAAATCATCAGGTTGTATATTGCCTATCATGACATGTTTACCTGTGAATTGTAATTCTTATGCAGTGGTACATTACACACGTCTAAACTATAAACTTGTGTCAGCATATACATCGTAATCTCACATATATAGAAATGTCGTTAGCAATTCTCATTTTGTGCACTATCATATATAACCTGGTGTATTCACGTGCATTTCTCAATATGTTTATCTGAATATCTCTGCGAGTTTACCTAAACATCTCAATGTTTACCTGAACATCCCAATGTTTTTGCCTTTACATTTCAATGTGTTTACATACACATCACATTACATCTGTATATCCCGTATGTTTCAAGGATTTTCCAGTTTTCTTGCCCGCGCATTACAGTTTGCTAACCTTCAAACCACAGTGTGCTTACCTTCACATCATATTGTGATTAACTGCAACCATGGTGTGCATATCTACACATCAAGATGTGCTTACCTACACATCACTGTGTACTTACCTGCACATCACGATGTGCTTACCTGCACATCACAGGGTGCTTACCTACACATAACAGTGTGCTTTAACCTACACAATACAATGTGCTTGCCTACACATTACAGTGTGCTTACCTACACACCACTATTTACTTACCTACACATCACGATGAGCTTACCTGTACTTCACAGGGTGCTTACCTACACATTACAGTGTGCTTACCTACACATTACAATGTGCTTACCTACACATTTCAGTGTGCTTACCTACACATTACAGTGTGCTTACCTGCACATCTCGCTGTGCTTACCTGCACATCACTGATACCCTGCACATCATGACGTGCTTACCTGCTCATCAAAGTATGCTACCCTGTACATCACGTTGTGTTACCCTGCATATCACGGTATGCTACCCTGCACATCGCTGTGTGCTACTCTGCACATTACAGTGTGGTTACCTGCACATCACACTGTGTTACCCTGCACATCACGGTGTGCTAATCTGCACATCAAAGTGTGCTACCCTGCACATCACGGTGTGCCAGCCTGCACGTCACGGCGTGCTAATATACACATCACACTGTGTTACCCTGCACATCACGGTGTGCTAACCTGCACATCACGGTGTGCTAGCCTGCACGTCACGGCGTGCTCATATACACATCACACTCTGTTACTCTGCACATAACGTTGTGCTAACCTGCACATCACAGTGTGCTACCCTGCACATCACGGTGTGCTAGCCTTCACGTCACAGCGTGCTTATATACATATCACACTGTACTAACCTGCACATCACAGTGTGCTACCCTGCACATCACGGTGTGCTAACCTGCAGTCACGGCGTGCTAACCTACACAATAAAATGTGCTACCAATCACATAACTTTGTGCTTACTTACATATCTCAGTTGGTTAACCTTCATATCACAGTGTGTTTACGTACACATCACAGTGGCTTACCTGTACGCGCCATGTTATGCATACATACACGTCCCGTTTTAATTTATCTGTACATCACGGTGTGTTTACCTGCATATAATGGTCTGCTTACGTTCAACTATCAGTGTGCTAACCTGCACGTAATGGTATTCCTGCCTTTATATTACGGTGTGCTAACATTCACATCACGTTGCATGTCACAATAATATGCTTACCTATGCATGCATCACAGTGTGGTCACCTGTAAATCCGTGTGTACGATCTGCAAATCCCATTGTGCTAGCCTATATATTACAATGTGCTTTCATGCACATCCCAGTGAGAGTACCTCTCCATCGCAATTTGATTGTATGAGCATTACAGTGCTTACATGTAGATCACAATGTGTTATCTTGTACACCACGTTATTCTTACCTGAATATCACTGTTTACCTCCACAGCAAAGTATCTTGATATGCTTACCTGCACCTAGTGATGTGCTTACCTGCATATCATGGCGTGCTTTCTTGCACGTCATTACCTGTCCATTCGAATATGCTAAGCTGTATAAGATGTTAATGAATGTTCTTACACAACCCAGTGTGCTTGTCTGTATAGCAATTGTGCTAAATGCGCAATACATGCATTTGCTAATATAAGCGTGCACATTATCTTCAATGTGCTGTATCAACAAACTAATATCTATGTCAAATAAACCATTGCTTTAACTATTTAGCCTGTGCCTGATTATACTGTAACTTTAAAATGAATCTTAAATCTTAAAGCAAATACATGTTAACTTTTACCACCAAAACGTGTGAATTAAACTAACTACTCTGGCTTTACCCGGGTCTTGTTCCACAAAAGGATTGTTTGAAAACGCCTCTTTTTATGATTTTAAAAGCCTAAAGTCAAAATGTTAAGCTTTTGCAACGCTAAAGTTCTCATTGCATTACGTTTTAAAATTAATGAACAACCTTCTTGATGAAAGTAGTAGTTCGAAATCAAGCTTCACTGTCGTGTCATCTAGATCTACAAAAATGCTTTACGATTGTCTACCCTGGAATAAACTCTAATTTCAACTCTATATTAACCTATAACATTTTTAAAAATGGGCACATCCAAATGCCTTCGTATTAAGTTTTGATAATCTGTCAACCACAATTCTAGTTTTGAAGATATTTCAAGTAAGCTTATAAAACTACTTTATACGTGTAACTCTTTCTACATTGAAATATTTTGCTTTCTTTTTCTGAACAATTACTGTGAGAAAACTCACCTTTGAAAATAACGCCTGTGCAAGCACTATCAAACATCATCATCACCATCTTGTAAAGTCATTAAATAACTGATTATCTAGCCAAAAAGCGTTTTCCCAATCAAGCCTCTGTGTTTACGAGTTAGTAAAACATGTCGAGTCTTTGATTAACGTTTTTAACTAACTCCTATACGTTTAAACGTGTTTGATCTTTTCTGAAACCTGTATTTATTTGAAAATCTAATATGTCATTACTTGTTAACAAGTTGAAATTCTGAACATTGACCACTAAATTTGATCTTTCTACAAATTATATCTTTTTACTGCCTGCTTTATATACCCTTTATTTTTTAAACGAATCGGTTCACCTAAAATAGCTATTGTGAAACAAACCTATCAACTTTTGAATATCAATCTCTCAGTTCTAATACCGAGGAAAAGAACATAAAATACGAAAAGAACTTGTAAAGGCCTCCCAAATTGAGGAAACACTATAACATGTTGGTATAAGTACTTGTACGTACATAGATTGAAATCTACGAAGAAGACCTCTAAACAAATCTTGTAAGCACCGAACTACTGTCAGTAATGTAAATCCCTGAAGAGATATCTAGCATTTCAAACAATAACATAAGAAAACATAATAATTTAATTGGCTACTTAACTTATTCGTGATTGCAGTAGTCGTTGAGCTCATTGCTCCCAAAATGACCTTGATATGGCCCAGCTTCGCCGCATTGAAACCAGACATCGGTCATCATTGGTAATCATGCTCACCCCGGCACTTCCCGATACTATGTTGTCGTAAAACAAGTTGCGACCTCTTGAGTCTAGTGGTACATACTGTAGGACATCCAGAACTTTCTGAAACGTAAAGGACCTCGAGAAAGCCTTTGTTACCAATTTTGTTATTTTATTTGAAGCTTCTTTTACGCTTTTTTATATATAGATGTTGATTGTACTATCTGAGGTGATTGGAGTCATATTATTAACAGTTTATAACCAAAAGACATCTAACGTACCTGTTCAAACTAATCAATTTATTTTTTCGTAATATAAAAGTTTTACCTTCTGTAATATTCTCCTCATATGACTGTGCTATTGTAAGTCAGCTGTTTCAACTATGTAGTAACGAGTAATATGGAGGTTTCTTCAAATGTGTCTTGAACTTTCGAATTAAATTCGACAAAAGTTGTCTAATCTGTTGGTTTATTGCATAAAACGAAGTGTATGTGTTGACTACACGGTGACAAAGCTCAGAATGTCTTTCTATACACTCTACCTTCACCACGAAAACATCCACTCACTCACATAACTCTACATTGAACTGAACTCATCGTTCAGCCAATAGAAAGCATTTATGTTCTAAAGTCGCTACGCTCCACCGAACATAAATAGGCAGTATATACAGTGCGACACAGACAGAATGACACCAACTCAAATAATGTTAAATGTTGCTATCTGGATAAATGTCTTTTGCATAGTAAAACCTTACTCCATGGAGCAGCCCCACAGGAAGTTTCAGATTACGAGCTGAATTAGATGCACCTTATGAGCATTACAAGATGTGTCATCAATTCCTTTGCAAGAGCGCCTGTATTTTACAAAAATGCCACCCTCCTTTTAAAGCAGGAAATGTTATCATGCCTTATCATGTTTGCTCTTTATATAAAAGTTTACCCTTCGATAGTGTGGCTTGCTTCTTTAAAGGTGCAACAATTAATGCAAAGGGACCATTCAGCGAACATGGACCAGTGTCGAAATATATTTTGTTTTGATATTTCATCAAGCCTCTCATCATATTTTCATTATCTCCAAAGAATCCCCCTGGACGAACATTATTTCACCTTATATTCCCGTTCAAACATGGTGGATCATAAAAACCTATATACGTGGGACTCCCTTTATAGAAGCTTTGGACTAAATTTACAGCTGGAATTGATAATTATCCATATATTTTAAGAAAATAGGTATGTCAAAAAGATGTTAAGCCAAATGTTGCCCCGATAGCTCAGAAAAAACTAAAAACATTTGAATTTTCCCTCTACACTCCTTGTTGCCCCTTTAAAATAGCTTTATCTAATTGACAAGCCCTTTATTCCAGGGTAAGAAAAAGTTCTATCTCCATCAATTAAACTCATTTTGTGTACAGATGCAACAGGTCTCAATCGTGCAATCTCCAAAAGCATTTTTTAAAAAGTAGCCTTAAACATTGGCATTTCTTGCCATCCTGATCAGGAATAATTCATCTTGGCTATATGATACATAAGCATGCATGTCAATATTCTATTTTACTGTGTCACAAAGATAGAGGAACCTAAATGTTTGTTCTCAGTTTTCTCAAATATGGTACATGAGGATATAGAACCTTTTAATAGTAGAGGGACGATATATATGAGCCTGGCCATAGGAAAACCAGTCTTATCACAAAAATTAAAAATGTTAGTGCTACAGAGCCCAAATGTGCCCAAGATTAAGAGGAAAATGTGCTAAATTAAAATCCAACTTTTTGGTCCATATATGCAATGAAAAATTGTTAAGACATAAGCCATGGCTCATTTGAAAGATCTCTTTGTGCTTTTTAAGATAAACAAATATCAAAATATTGAAAAATCTGTGATAAGATCCTTTTCCTGTGACCTGGCTCATATTATAACAAACTATGTATACTTACAACTAACGTGCATATCCTCATTGTTCTTCTCCGTTTAGTTAGTTTTTGGTTCGCCTTTAATAAATGGCCTCTAGGAAAGACCACTCCGATATTTAATTAGAAATGCCCAAGGCTTTTTAATTATATGTTTATATGTATTGTGATTAGTTTAATATTCAGTATGGAAACGTCATCGACTGACAATACTTTAATGTGCAAATTATTTACAAATATTTTATATAATTGTTTTGTTTATAATGCATTTGTTTTTGTTCTTTTCTACAAATTCTCGAAAATGAAATAAAAACTTTTTCCGAACCTTTTGGAATAAAATGGCATTAATACTCCATTTAAATAGATATCTCTAAATATCGTAGTTATACAAGAAAGTTTGGTTCATTTAAAAAAAAGTATCTAAAGAAATTAGAACAGAAACCCCCAAAATAGACAAAATTGAAGTATTCCTTTTATTTCATTAATAAGATACTTTTTTAAATGAACCAAACTTTCCTTTGTACAGTTACAACTTTGAGAGACCTAGAGACGTTGTTTACAATGTCATTTTGTTGCAAACGAAGATCGGATACACGTTTCATTTCATTTCGAACATACTGTTATGCGGTGAACACAAGAGAACTATCTGTCATACATTATAAATCTGAGATTCACGTCCGATGTATTACATGCCCATCTGGCTTGTATGGCATATTCACTGACCAATGAGAACGCGTGACGGAAATACTGAAAAGCAAAATGGCAAAAGTCGAAAACGAAACGTATAATTAGATGAAAGTAGTCACTCGGGGCCAGTAGGATGCTTTTGGGGGTCACTCGGGGCCATTTTGATGTTTTTAAGTTAAATAAAGTGTTAAATTACTATATCTACATAGCTCAAACTGTTATCATGGGCATCTGTGTCTTTGTTCCATATTTGGGACGCCTCTAGAAAATATCCCCAATTTTTTTTCAATGAAAACTATTTTTTCTGAGTTATGCTACCTGGATTAGAATAACATAAAAATCATGAAAAATAATGACATTGATGTATGCTTGTTATATTTATCAATTACCATGACACTATATAGCTAATGATTTCTTCCAACAAAGCTTTACTGTGACTGACCAGTTGAGATAATCTAGGGATTGACACAATTGTTTTTTAGATATAATAGAAATTGATTTGTGTCATGTTGAGCTGAGCCAAATCCATTCTGATGAATTTTTTCTCATATTCCAAACTTGTAGATTATAAACGTTATAACATGGGTTGGATGAAACTTGAATTTCAGCTTTTAGCAACATCTTTCTACACCACATCAATAATTAATCATCTAGACATCAACAAAGGCAGAAAGATCTCTGAAAAAATGCTCATAACAATAAATATATACCTATTCAGCATTTTTGGGGGTTGGCGAAAAAGATTTCCGACGTATTAATGAGGTACACATCCTTTTCATTACGCAATAAAAGCTGCTGGAAGCGACGAGGGCAAACGAACTATTAATTTAATGTAACTTTGGATAATATGTCCAATGTTATATCACACTGGATACCTTCTATTAAGGTTTGAGCTGTAGCAGGTGTGTGTGTGTGTGGGGGGGGGGGGGGGTATTTGACACAATGTATGTAGAAGTCTTGCGATTTATCCAACCAAACCAGGTCGTGAACAAGTCAATCAAATTGACTGTATACTGACGACAGAAATAGAAAATAGATATTTCTAATGCTCTGTTTATAACTCCACGTCCGACAAGTGTTTTGTATTAAATGGCAATATGGAGTTTAAGCTTGCAATGCTTTTCACAATCTAAACGTGAACGAAAAATATTTAAGCGATGCATTTGTATGGCTGATTGGTCATACGGTATAGGTTGGCGTTTCGATTCTACATGCAAGCCTAAACTCCCTATAAACGAAGAATAACGGTAAATAATGTTTTACGACATAGTAACTCATAACAACTAAGATATGCTATACACACCCTGGGTATAGTCTGTCACGTGACTTCATGGATGACGTGTGCGCGAGTGATTCGCATTTTCTTTCGCTTGAGGTTTGTAATCACACTTTTTACATGTTTTAAGATTTTGCATCTCTGTGAAACTTGTCCCGTACCATCAATGTCTGAAGACGATCTAATTCACCAAATATCTCATCCAAGCGTGTCCTGGTTAAAGAGAAATTCGCACTTTTGTGTCTCGCAAAATGACGTGTGCGCGAGTAAATCGAATTTTACGAAGGATGGGTGCGCGAGTCTAAAATATTTTTATTCACTTGAGAGAATTCTGCAAGCTAAGGCAGAATACAACTCACGTGACATTTGTTTTTGTCATCTTAAAGTAGTATGTTAAAGAATAGTTTGCTATTTTGTAGATGTTTCATGTATGGCACATACATGTCTACGTTTAATGACAATAAATGTTTTGAAATAGCTTGTAGGGCTGTCCGGCATTGCAGGTGAATTAAAATTTGAACCAAAAATTGAATTAAATTTTTGGCGGTCTCATAAAACCGGCAGCATATTCATTTATTGACATCCCATACAAGGGGGGGGGGTCAGAGTTGTTATGTGGTTACTCGGCATCCGCCACGATCAGAACCATGTAAGGAATAGTAAGGGGAAGCCCATGATACCAAGTAATATCAAATAATTATAGGAGCTTCTAACTTCTTCCGCATCCCCACCCTTGGTATACGCAGCTGACAAAATGGATCGGTACGGGTCAAAAGCTGGACCGGTACGGCTTAACTGTTTTATTTGAATTTAAAACAGCTATAACTTGCTCAATATTGACTTCTTCGTATCTAAGTTGAAATATATGATCCCTCCGAATGATTTTAAGTACCCCCAAAGTTCACCCGTACATAGCATAGTTTTCTTTGTAATGTGGTCGTGTGGACTATCATGTTCAGTTTTAATCAATTTTATTTTGTTGTTTATTGAATCAATCTGGATTCTTTCGTTTGATAGTTCTTTTTCGAATGGAATGAAGCCATACCGTTTAGACATGTATGACATAAAACCATTTTCGTGGTTTAAAACTTCGTCATACTTATGTTTCGTCATACTTATGTTCTTCCCAGGTAATAAATTGGTATCTTCAGAAATAGTAGATATGCCAACATCTGATCATAGAGGCATAATGCTAAATATTTCATTAGATGATAGTGAAAAGGGACCATCTTATTGGAAACTTAATAATAGTCTGTTAAAAAATACTGAATATGTTAATCAAGTAAATACTATTGTCGAAAATGTAAAATTAAAAAATAGGAATTTAGATGAGCAAATGTTATGGGATTACTGTAAAACAGAGATTAGAGATTTTTCTTTGAATTTTGGTAAAAGAATTGCAAAAGAAAAAAGACAGGAAATAAAAATAGCCAAAACCAATTTAGAAAAAGCTTGTAAACAATTATGTAAAAAGCCAGACAGTAATGAGTTAAACATGAAGGTTAATGAGTGCAAAAAAATATATGATGACATTGTAAGTAATGAGGCAAGAGGTGCTATGATAAGATCAAAAGTTCAATGGTGTGAAGAGGGAGAAAAAAGCACTAAGTATTTTTTGCAACTAGAAAATGTTAAAGCGAAACAGAAACTTATTACACATTTAAAGCTTGATAATGGTGAGGTAACAAGAGACCAGACTAAAATTATAAATGAATTAAATAGATTTTATGGTGAGTTATATTCTAAAAAGATTCTATTCCGACCAGCAATTGCTGATGATTTTTTTAATAATGTACATATTCCTTCATTAAACCAAGATGAACGTTTATCATGTGAAGGTGAAATAACCTATAATGAATGTATTTTAGCTTTAAGGAACATGAGAAATGACTCAAGTCCAGGATTAGATGGCATAACTGTTGCTTTTTATAAAGTATTTTTTACAAAATTAGGTCACTTGATTGTGAACTCATTTAATGAGGGTTTTATTAAAGGAGAGTTGTCATGCTCTCAAAAAAGGGGATTAATGGTACTTATACCAAAGAAGGATCTGCCAAAGGATGAGCTGAAAAACTGGAGACCCTTAACTCTCACAAATGTGGATTATAAAATCGTTGCAAAGGTATTGGCTAATAGAATAAAACAGATTATCACCTCAATTATTCATGATGACCAATCTGGTTTTATAAAAAAGCGAAGTGCATCAAATATCTTAAGAACAATTGATGATGTTATAATTTATTTAGATACTAATAAACTTCAAGGTATAATGATGGCAATTGACTACTCTAAAGCATTTGATTCGATATCTAAGGAATTTATGTTATACTCACTTGAAAAATTTGGTTTCGGGCCATCATTTATAAAATGGGTAGATGTACTCAATAGAAATGGTCACAATCACATTTATCATAATGGTTGGATAATTGGCAATATTAATTTAGAAAGGGGCATTCGTCAGGGATGCCCATTATCTCCACTTACATTTATTATTGCTTGTGAACTGTTATCCTGCAAAATAAGGCAGCAAAATGATATCAGAGGTATAACCCTACCAAATGAAGAAATTTTAAAAATTGTACAATTTGCAGACGATACTACAATGTTTGTAAAAGACTCACAATCATTTTATAATACCATTGATGTCTTTAAAAGATTTTCCAATATATCTAGCTTAAATATGAATGTAAATAAAACTGAAGCCATGTGGCTTGGTTCCTGGAAAAATAGGAAAGATACTCTTGGTAAAGTCAAGTGGAAAATCAAACCTGAAAACTCTATTAAAGTATTAGGAATCACATTCAGTCCGGATGTAAAAGTGGTTAACAACAGTGTAAATATTGAATCTAAGTTTTTAAAATGTCAAAATATTATGAAGTCTTGGGCAAACCGAATACTTACTATTTTTGGAAGAATTGTTCTTGCAAAGTCATTGATTATATCACAATTTTCCTATATAATGCAAGGCTTTATTTTACCAGAGAATATTTTAAACAGAATAAATACAATGGTTTTCAAATTTATTTGGGCCAAGGGAAAATTTAAGGAATGTGACTTAAAGACTGTGCCTGAGAAAGTTAAAAGAGATGTTATTGTACAAGACTATTCTGAA